CATTAGTTAAGGTATATTAAATATCTTACCATCTTCACCTAAAGGATGCCAGGATTTCTTCTTATTCACCAGAATTTAAATGCCCATACATAAGCACACAGGATTGTCAACTTGTAAGTTAAGGAATTTATGCTATGCAAACAAATACCACCACCCTAAGGAAGAAACTGGACAGATATAGGCCATGACACCTTGGAATCTATGTGTTAAACAGAGCCTCTATCATCCTTGGGGTCTGTGAATGAGGGCATGGAGCAGAGCCTCTGCCAAATGGATATGATCAAAGAAGACATTTCTATTGTGTGAAGTTAGTCAGATTCCATGATTTACCTTCAAAGCAATCAGGTCAATATATTTTCTCAATATTCTAGTCATTCTTTAGTCAAATGTGCCCTCAACTGTGTTTCATTTTTTTACAATGATTGGTAAAAACCTAGGGAAAGAATGTGTAGATGATCTTAAGGATGTTCCATCTCTGTTGCCTTGATTTAAGTGAGGTAGTCAGCAATGAGGAAGATTTTCCAATACTCCATGTTAATGAGGACACCATCAATACATAGTGTGATTTTCTCCAGCTTTCAAATGATGCAGATGAGTACCTGACAAAATTGTCGGTGTTTAGAAACCATTTCTTTAGACAACTCTCATGTAGCAAGATGCTTTCACTATAAGATATGGAGGAACTGGCCTCATATAGACTAGGAGATTCACATCTGAGGCACAAGTTCCCTTAGTAAAATAAATAGCCCTGCTTTATTTTTTTTCTCTTTCTAGACACTTAGTTGAGTTCATGCAACCCAAATGCATGTCATGCCCTGAACCACTTTGATTTTCCTCATTACCTACTTAAAGATTAGGTAAGAGAGTAGCAGGATGGAAACTATTCTATTTTCACAGTGAATACACAGAAGAGCTGTAAATTTAAAACATGAAGCTTACTTGTGGTGATCATTAATGGAGCACAAAACCCTCATGCCAGCCAATGAAATGTCAGTTCAACTCTGTGTTCATTCCTTAATACAGGAAAACCTCAACCAAAATACCTTACTCTGATTCAGCAATTCAGTAAATCTTTTAATGACATATTGATCTGAAAACACTGAGTTGAAGTAGTTTGAAATTCATTCAAAACATATTGAGCATGTACCATGTGCCGGGCACTATTCTAAGGCACTTTACTTCAGGAAACAGATCCTCGCCTTCGCTACATTCTAGCACAGGGAGTAGAACAGACAATTATACGGTATGTTACAGGGGGAAAAAAAAAACAACAGGGCAGAGAACCAGCATATGAGGCTACAATTTTAAAAATTGGACATTTGAGCAAAATCTAAGAAAGTGGTGAAGGAATGATTTGTGAAGTTTTATGGGAGAAGAGCATTCTAGCCAGAGAACAGCAGTAATAAAAGTTGTAACACTGGAGGAACAGGACAGGGGGCCGGTGTCGGTAAGGCAGAGTGAGCAAGCGAATTCAATAGGAATTGAATTAGATGGGGTGGAATGCAGGTAATCAAGAGCATTCTAGCCAGAGAACAGCAGTAATAAAAGTTGTAACACTGGAGGAACAGGACAGGACAGGGGGCCGGTGTCGATAAGGCAGAGTGAGCAAGCGAATTCAATAGGAATTGAATTAGATGGGGTGGAATGCAGGTAATTTAGGGCTCTGTACACCTTTGTAAGGTCTTTGACCTACTTAAGTAGGAAGCCGTCTAACCAAAAAAGACTTAGATCTTTAAAGGGTCACTGGCTGCTGGGAAAATAGAATGGAATGAATGAGGAGACACAAATGAGGCAAAACAAAGACCAGTTAGGAGACCACTGAAAAAATCCAGGCAAACCGTAACAATGTCTTGGACTAGGGTAATAGCAGTAGCGACGGTGAGATTTTAGGTGGAACCAAGATTAGATGAAGGACATAAGGAGTCCAAGACTTTTTGTATGAAAAACTAGAAGAATGGAGTCGTCGTTATACGTGATTGGGAATGATTGGGAGGAAAAGTTTGAGGCAAAAATGAGTTTGGTTTTTGGACATCAATTTTGAGATTTCTATTAGATATACAAGTGGAGATGTCACACAGGGAGGTGACCAACTATAAACCTGATATCCTTATGATTACATGAGGTCACTAAAATGAGTATGAAGAGAGAGGCAAGGAGCCCAAGGTTGAGCTCTGGGCCATGTCTATGCTTTATTAAAAGTTCAGGGAAAATGACGATTATGCCAGCAACAGAAGATAGACTTAGCAGGAGCAGCCAGTAAAGGAGGAAAATCAGGCAAGTATCTTGCAGGCCAACTGAAGAAAGTGTTTCAAGGTAAAACACTAATTGTTGATTGGATTTAACAATGTGGAAATCTTGGGTGACTTTACTAAGAGTAGTGGAGTAGTGAAGACAGCCTGACAGGCATCACCTATCATATGACTTAAGTGTCCAAACTTAACACCTGAAACTAATGAAAACTTTAGACCTAAATTTGTTTATAGAATGTTCAAAAGGACAAAAGAGGTTACATGTCACCACAAAGAAACATTAAACAAGACAACAGGCCTAGTCTTTATGGAACGTTACAATCTTGATTGAATCCTGATGTAGGGTGGGGGCGGCTGTAAAGTCTTTTGGGGGACTAATGGGAAAATCTTAATATAGACTTGATATTAAATTAGGGAAGTATTTTAAATGGGATAATACTATGAAGGTTATATAGAGCCACATTATTCTTAGGAGATGCCTATTTAAGTATTTCATCTACAACCTAATCTGAAAGTTAAAAAAAAAATACATACGAAGCAAATATGGCAAAATATTAATTACTACTTAAGTGGATCATTAGACTATTCTTTCACCTTTTCTGTGAATTTTTTCCTAATAAGTTAATGAAAAGGGAGCGTGGCAGGGGGGGTAAACTGGAAGTTTAGAAAATTCTTGAGTTTCACTATAAAAGGAAGCAGTAAAAAAATAGTGATAATTGGAGAGGGATATAGGAACAAAAATTTGAATATGTTTATTATCCTTATGGGAATGATCTAGTAGAAAGAAAGAAAATGGATGCAGGAAGAGAGGACTGCCAGAATATCCACTTATTAACACCAATTACTGTAAGGGGCAGTAAAGAGAATCCAAATGAGGCAAAGACAATCATTTCCAACCCTAGCTACTTGGTTCACCTACAGAGCATATTAAACGAATTCCAACAGTCCTCCTTCCCCCCAGTCTTCTAAAGCAGTCTCTAGGGGTGGAGCCTGAGAATCTTTTAAAAGCTCTCCAGATATAAATATGTTTGAGGATCATTTTCTTTAAGGTCAAGTTCTTGCCATAAGCCAAAGATAGCTTTGATAATTTCAAACCACCCATATTTTTCTCAGATTGCCCATTTTTCCCTCAAAAATACAAAAGAATTCTACCTAGCTATGTACCCTTGTTAATCAGAGATACTCAACCACATTACAGTAACCCAAGTACAGTATAATATCAGAACTGCCTTTTACTAAAAGATGACTGTTAGCACTCAATTCTGTAGGTATTTCCTTATTAAAAGCACTTTCAGGGGCCGGCCCGGTGGC